CCGCCCGCGCTCGGGCGCGGGGCCGGGCCGGGGCGGGCAGCGCCCTGACGGACGGACAGCTCCGCCAATCGCCGGGGCCGGGCCGCCCGCCGGGCCAATGCGGGGAAACTGAGGCCCAAGTGAAAGCGGGGAGAGGCAGGGGATGCGGGCCATGGGAGGGATGCGGGCAGAGGGACGGGGTTGGGAGCTGGGCAGAGGAAGGGCAGGGAGAGGGTTCTGTGTGTGGGGCAAGAAAAGGAGGAGAGGGATGGGGGAGCGAGAAGAAGGGGTGAGGAGAGAGCAGGGTAGGGGTGGGGGTAAGGGCTTCGGCATCACATCAAACCCTGCTCGTTTCTCGGCCCCCTGAGCACCTGCAGCCTCGCAGCCCCTAGGCTCGGGCTGCCCACCCTCGGCCCGGGTTATCCCAGCCTCCCTGCACCCCGGCAGGCTCATGGAGAAATTCTGGGATACATCCCTGCCCCAGACCGAGGGGAAAACAGTGCTGGAGGAGCTGCATCCGCGTCTGTGGCGGCAGAGAGCAGCAGCAGGACTTTGCCCTTTCCTCCGGCTGCTGCTGGGGCTGAGCTGCCGTGGAAGGGAAAGTGGAGGAGCAGGTGCAGGGGCATTATTGAGCCGGGACAAACACGGCTATTGTGGCACTGTCTGCATGGCACGATACCGGGCTGGCAGGCTAGGCACGGCTGAGTTAATGATTGCAGAGGGCGCACAACCGCTCCAGATTTGAGGGAGCTGAGCAGGAAAGCTGTGGGACACCCCAAACCCTCTGCATTTGCATTAACACATTTGCTTGAGCGTTTTTCTTTGCTTTTTGGGGACTCGCCGTCACAGTGGTTGGTTTGAGGCACAGAGGTGGCTCTTGAGCAGTTTCACAGAAGAGTCTCCGGATCAGAACCCACACCTGAGCACTCCACACCCTGCAGTACACAAACCACCTGGGCAGGAAGAGTCCCAGAGATGTGATGTGCACATGTGAGGCTCTGACCCTGCAGCTCCTCATGCCCACCCGTGCAGCCTTTGCATCCCCTTTTGCATTTCTTCCAAGAGCTGTTCCACATCACTTGGGGATTCGGCTCGTTTCTGCACACTCACAGATAAATAATTCAGGCCCTGCATGTTTAGCTGCTGAAGTGCAATCAGTGCTCCATTTCCCGGAGTGCACAGGATAACCTGGGTAATGGAAAAGCCCAGCTAACACTGCATGAAGCAGAGAAGAGAGCAAAGACCTGGGCAGACATCAGCTGCCATGCCGAGCCCTGCCATCCCCTCTGTCTGCAGTGCAGGGACAGCAGCGTGGCACCTTCCCCACAGCTGCTGCCAGAGCTCAGGGACACACCAGGAACCAGGAGCTGGGGCACAGGCTGAGGCAGAAGCAGACCCAGCAGCTCATCAAAGCTCATGGTGGGCTGTGGCGATGTGCTGTTCACATCTCTGCCCCCTCCTCATCCTCTGTGGCTCCAGGATGGAGCTGGAAGGTGCTGCCTCTTTGTGCCATTCTTGTTCCTCCTTGGAGCTGGAGGTAGATGGGGTCCTTGTGGGGTTTGGTTGAATTGGGAGCTGTTGAATCTGCTTTTAAAGTAAAATGAAGAGTAGGAGAGCCTGTTGTGTGCAGCAGGCTGTGTCCAGGAAGACTAGGAAATATATGCTCTATGTATGAAAATTGGTATTGCTTTATTATATACAAATAATTTCCTGCACAACAAAACTGGGGTATTGTTTTGGCTGGTGCTGTGCAGTCACTGATGAATAAGGCTCTGTTTCAAACCCATTTTATTCTAAATAAACAGGACAACAGATGTGCAAAGGTGAAGCCGTGCATCAAAGGCATCTGAGCTGGGGAATCCCCCCACATTTCCTGTTCCACGGTGCAGAGCTGAGTGAAACATTGGCTCTGGCTGCAGTGGGATCCTGCATCCTGCTCCTCAGCTCAGCTCAGCTCAGCTCACTTCTCCATGTGTATTTTGGTCTATTCTGCCTTGGCTGAAGTTGTCCTCAGAGGTGCAGAGTAATTTTTTACTTAGTTTTTAGTGGTATTTTTTTTTCTTGTTCAGCATCTTGAAGTACTTTAGCTCTTGTGTAAGGAAGATGTAAAGATAAGGAGCTTGTGCTGTGCATTTGAATGAGTTAATAGCAACAGTGATAAGGTAACCAAGGGGGAAGGTGTGGAAAGGCAGGACAGAGGTCTGGTAGAAGTCTGTCTCCTACTAAAATCTTTAAGAGATGCTGGGCAGGCACTGCAAATCAACCTTGCCATCTCTGCTGATTCACTTGTAAATAAAAAGCATTCTGTCCCAGGGGCATGTTTGTTTAAACTCCAGTTTCCCCAACCCTGGGGCTCAGCATCAGCCAGTGCACACCTTGCTGTGTGAGTGGCAGAAGGCCTTCCCAAGGCTTATCCCAAAGATCTTGGTAGCTGTTCTGAAGGATAGGGGAAGCTGGAATTTGTTTCCCAAAGCACAGAGGTTGTTTCTCAAAGCATGGAGCTCTGCCTGCCTCTGTCCATCCTTGGAGCTGAGAATTATCAGGGCAGTGACAATAATAAACAATGACAAGGAGACTGGTAGCTCTATTAGCAGTGCTATTACTAACCTTAAATTATTATATTATTATTATATTTGTTATCTCCTTGGGTTTGGGGCACACTGATCATTTTAGTTAGTCTGAATCCCTGATTTTATGGGTCATGTTAACACTTGCAGATATGCCTGCACCAGTTTTCATTCAATATTTCACACCAGGATGGATTTATGATGTGTTATACTCCTGTCAGAAGCTTTGAGAGTGTCAGCAGCTCTGGGCTGCCATTTTTTATAAATGTCCATAAATCATTAAAACTCTGGGTTTAATTAATGCAAATTCAGGTCCGTGGAAGGGAAGTCACTGGCTGCAGGCACTCCAGGAGCTGGAATTGCTCTGTCATGAGCAGATGTTGAAGGAGGTTTCTTCAAGTTCAGTCCTGTGAGCCACGTGGGCCCTGAGATGATCGTGACAATCTTTTGGCAAATCTGTGCAGATATCAACTTTTTCAATGACCATCAATTCTTGTTTTTCTGAGACCAACAGTGCTGACAAGGCAAAAAAGGGGAGTTGTTTATTCATCATGTGAAGTCCAGGTCTGGGAGCATTTACATTTTTAATATAGTTAATTGTGCACGTATTTACAAGATTAGATTAACATAGCAATGAACAATTTATTTAAAACCATAATGTCTCATATGGATTTCTGGTGCCTGAATGATCATTTCCTAATACTGCTATTATTAATACTTCCATAATTCACATCTCCTGTTGCAGAACAAACAAAAAATCTCCAGGAAGAAAGAACAGATCTGGATTTATTTTTTTCCAAAAGCAGAATTTTTTGTGTTTTATTATAAGTCTAATTTGAGCCAGAAATTCATTCACAGGAAACATATAATAAATAGCAAATATAGATGGGATTTTTCAAGACTGCTGGTGCTGGTTTGCATGAGATTAGCACTTCTGAAAATCCCCCCCTGGATTTTACCAGACTTTGTGTTATCCTGTTGTGAGACCCTGCTGTCTTTGCAAACTGGACCATCAGAATCTGTCCTGCTCATGTCTATGAGCTGCATTATTATAACAGCTGCATTATTACAATGCTCTTTCCTTATTACAAGAGCAAAGGTCCCTGTAAATATAAGGGTGAGGAAAGAGGTTTGAAGTGGCTGCTGATTAAACAATAGCATCTTGTGGCAGAGGCATCACAGAGCCGAAAGTGTAACTGTGCTTAAGGAAGAATTATACAAATTCATGGGTGACACGTGTTTTGGTGGCTGTTAAACCCCATAATCTCTGTGCAAACTTCTAGTTCAGGGTGTCCCTGAGGTGCTGGCTGTCCCTGGCCAGGGGAGTGAGTGTCCTGCTCTCACCCTTTTTTAAAATAACAGCACTGCCCCACTGGGCCTGGGGGTAATTGGGAAGCTATATTAGGAACTTTGGCGCTCAACATGTGCAAAGTATGATGTGTTAGTTTTAAAAGAGATAAGGGAGAGCTGGAGCTTCTCTTTGAAAGATTTCTGATGGGTCTGAGCTCTTTTTCCTCAGGTACTTCCCCTTAGGCGATGTGCAGACACCTCAGACTTCCTTTCCTAAGAAAGAAACAGAAGTGAGTTCTCACACTCCAGCTGAGTTTTATTGGGACAAAATATGACATTAAACTGTCAAGAATGATAGCAGAGTCCAAAGACACCATCATCTGCAGGGAGCACAAGCTGAAGCTGAGTGCAGCAGCTGTAGGGCTGTCCCTGCAGAGTCAGAGCAGAGCGTGGCCCCCGGCAGCTCTGCATCCCCACCGAGGACATTTCAGCCTCAGCAGTTCACAGGGAGATTTTCACTGTGGTGGTGATGAACACAATGCTTTTGTAACTGTTGGTTTTCGGCAGAAAGCAGCCCAGATTGGCAAAGCCACACCACTGGTGTGTTCTGGGTGCTGTTGCCCTCAACACCCCTGGCCCCTCTCAGGTCTGGGCCCGCTGTTCTGGGCAGGCTGTCAGCAGCTCAAGGGCTCCTTCCTCTGTCCCTGTGTGCAGAGGAGCTCATCAGCTGCACATGCGAGTGCTACAGAAGTGCAAACAAAAATTAATAATAGTATTTACAATCCAGATCATTGCATGCATCGTGTTCTGCTCCAAAATTTAAATTCTTTGAGCATAACCAGCCTCCCAGATTCTTACTTAGGAGGGACTATAAATCATGATTTGTCTTCTGAGATGAGGGCTGGGACAAGGCATATGCTGCCCCTTACCTCCATGGGCTGCTAGACACAAAACTCCACTCCAGGATGAGGATCCCCCCCTTGGGGAGCTGTGGGAATCCCCCAGCTTGGCGAGGCAGTGAGGGCAGAGATGTGTCCCAGTCCTGCTTTTCCTCTGCTCAGTTCACTGGAGAGAAAAAGCTCTGAAGAATAATCAGTGAAAAACATATAAAATCAGAGCAAATACTTTGTGGCACTGTGAGAGCTCAGAATTCATCACATTCTTGTACCAAGCAGGAGTGCAAATGGGAGTGTGGGGAAAATCCCCTGCACCCAGATCTGTGCTTCTTATCCTCTTGCTGTGCTCTTGGCACGGTGTCCAGGGGGAATATTTAGTCCTCATTTAGCAGCAGCACAAGCTCCAGCACAGCAAGGAAGAGCACACTGAGCTCTCACAGGGCACGAGGGAGGCGGCAGCATCCTGGAGAGGCTCCTGGCAATGCCTGCGGTGTGTGGGAAGTGGTGGAGAGCACCAGCACAAGGGTTTGAGCTCTGGTTCCAGCTCATTTGCCATGGTCAACAGAGTGTGTTTGTACAGCAAGAGGAGATCTGTTCATCAGAGCAACACCCTTCCTCTTTATGTGTGTTTCTGAAGTGTAATCACCATCAACCTGCCCATTTAACTCTGCTTCTCTCTTGCTAAGAAACAAGAGAAGGAGGCTGTTTTCAGTCACCAAAGGTTCTACTTTTTATTTTAATAAAGCCTGATGAAAAAAAAAACATTATAACTACGGCATGGACTTTTAATTGCTTTATTTCATAATAATTTTTTAGGTTCCTGTCAAGCTAACTCAAGCTTTCAACTTTTTTTTGTCATTGGCTTAAAATGCTGGCACAAGCATTGCTCCAGCTTGCAGCAATTTTCTCAGCCCAATGCCCCCTGCAGATTTTGGTAAATGCTACTACTGCAGTGCAATGAGGTACAGAGGTTTATTGACAGTGATATCAGCTGGGATCTGGGAGATGGTCAGGAGCAGCATGTGTTTGGGAAGAATATATTCCAGCATGATCTCTAGCATGCTTAGTTGGCCGTATTGGAAAGATTTCCAGATAGCTATCGATTTTCCAGTCCTGTAATTAGTTCAGAGATTATAAACATAGAAAATATCGCTCCAGAAATTGATTTTTTTAATTGTTCATAGCACCAAAATATGGTGTGACTGCAAATCACATGCTTCCTGCAGAGGAAGACTTTGAACTTTGGAAAAATATTATCCCTGTAAACATGGAGAAGAAATCACGAGGCTAATTCTATCACTTTCTCAGATAAGTGATAACACTAATTCTGGTTGATTTTAAAAATCCAAGTCTGGAATGTCTTTTTTTTTATTTTTTTCCACCTCTAATTATCAACTGAAGGAAGATGTCTCCTCTTTTCTCTGGAGGGGATTTTTCGTCTTCCCCTGGGAGGTAAATGAGCTGGTCACTCCTCCATGGTGACTCAGTGGCCTTGTTGCACATCCAGGGTGGGGTGGCTGTTGCTTATGGAAAATAAGAGTAGATAGATCCAGTAAAAACCCAGAGTTTGTCTTCTAAAGCTGTTATTTCTGTCTAGCAGGATAATGTCAATTATTTCCTGTGCTGGCAAAGCCAGGAGACCCCAATGGAGGCAACAAGGGTACTGCAGTTCAGGAAGTTATTAGAATTATTTCATCTCATTGCCCAACTATGCCAGGCATTAAACAAATAAGATGAGTCACTTCTCTAAAGAATTTGCAAATTAAGAAGGTTGAGTGGAGGGTAAAACCCTCCAAAAGATAATTTCCACTTTACAGGGATTGCATCTTCTGATGGAGTCACACAGGCAGTTGGAAAATTTGTCTACTGTGAGGTTTCTTGCAAAATCTGTGAAATCCCAGGAAGCAAAATGTTCCTTTTTAAAGCCCCAAACCTAACAATAATAAAAATAACTGGACAATCTGATTGGGTTGAGAAACTGCTTCTGCAGCTATATAATTCCTAAATAAACCCAGTCTCAGCAAAACCTTGGAAGTCTCAGGAGTTGGGAAGTGCTGCAATTAAAGTAAATTTACTGAGACATTAACAAACTAGGGAATTCCCCTCCCTGACCCACAGCAGCTCCCGAGGTGAGCGATGTCAGACCAAGGCATGAATTCTCCTCCTGCTCATGCAATCATTGCAACAGCCCAGTTTTATTTTCTGCAGGAAAAATGGTATCACTGGAAGATCCTTACACAAGAATCCTGTAGGAGAAAGAAAATCCTGTAGAAGGAGAAGAGGAGAAAATGCTGCTTTATTTATATTTACCTGTTGGGTGTTGAACATATGATCTCCAAAAGTCACTTCCAGCCCCAGCCATTCTGTGGCTTTTTAACCTCTCCAAACAATTTTTGGGGTCCCCATGATTCCTGGGAAGCAGGATTTGGGGTACAGATGAGAGGAAAGAATTGCAAGTGTTTTCCCTATCTCCCTTTGCTCCAGGACAGGTGGATTTGAGGAAAAATATGAAGTGTTTCACCCCAAGAATATATCTGATCTTTGTGTAAGTGAATCCCCCTTCAATGAGGTCAGAGCGGGATCCACGGGGTTCCTGGTATTTTGGGAAAGCACCAGGCAAGCCTTAGTGCCCCTTAACAGTGCACTTTTGGGGTGAAGCAACAATTAGCCATTGTGGGAGCTACCCGATCCTGAGCTGGGAGGATCTGCGGGATGACCTTCAGGCATCTCTCAGTTCTCTTCTCCCCTCGGAATTCCTACCGGGATAAGGGGGGAGCAGCTGAGTTAGCCCAGTCTCACTCTCCCATCTAGTGGTAAAACAAGGAAAAGTGGTCCAGGCAGAAAAAAAAATAAACTTTTGCTTTCTGGAGCCTTTGGAGTGTATAATTGCGGGATCAGTTAAAGCCATAATCCCCAGCAGGCTGAGGGTTGGGAATGTCACTGAACTGATCCAGAGGGACACACAGCAAAGTGCAAAGGTGGCTTTGAGTCCTTCCCCGGGTCCAGTGGGGTTTGGGTGCCCCTACTCTGGGAAGGAGCCATGAAGCAAAGAGGTTTGCACACTGAAGGATACAGCCCAGGGGGAGCAAAAGTAAAAGCACGAACTTCTTGAGCAAAAGAACCTCCTAAACCACCCGTGGAGGATGGGAGGTGGAAAATTTCGCAGTCACGTCTTCCCACAAATAACCCCTTATAGTCAAATAACCACTTGTGAGTCCCACAGCTGCTCCACTGCCTTCTCAGAAAGGCCTCTGTGGTCCCCCAAAAAGCAGGGTGGGGGCACAACCCACAAAGGCTGGTGCACAGGCAAGGTCAGGAACCCACAGGCATCCTCTCAGGAAATGTGCTCTCGGAGGTGTGAGCTGGGGCTGCCCTGCTGAGCTTGGGGTGCAGAGCCCGAAACCTCTGCAGTGCAACAGCCTCTCCTACGAGGTGACTGGGGAGGCTGAAGCATGGGAAGGTGGGTTACTCTGGGCTGTAAAGCTGTGTTTCATTTCAGCCAGGTACACAGAGCTGGAGGGGAAGGGTTTCACGTCTCCCACAAAAATTTAAGAGGCTCAAGGTGATTCAGGCAAATTTCCCCTGCCTTTTTTCCAAGAGGAACTGGTGCAGAACCAGCTCAGTAAGGGCCAACCCCATGGGGATGTTTTTCCCCAGGTTGGGGAAGTGCACGGGCTCAGGTTCAGCAGCCCTGGATTCAGGAGGCTGAGATTCCTACTCCAGTGTCCACAGCTCAGTTCCAGAGACCTGAGATGCAGAATGGATGAACCCTTACCGAAGATTTATGTTCTCATGTCAGATAGAAGATTTGTGGTATTTCCTGGAAGGCTGGGTGATGTTTCACTTTCAGCAAATAAGGTCAAAATCACAAGGGGGGAAAAAAAAGTAATCTCTCATGGATCAGCTGTTTGCCAGCCCCAGAGGTGCAAGAGTTTGTCTCACATCTCTGTTCATATAAAAACACTTTCCTGGAGCAATGCGCTGCTAAACATGGCTTTCCCGGGGGTGTCACCCACACAGTCTGCAGCACAAACAGACTCAGCTGGGAAAAGATAACTCAGAGGAGTACGGCACTCACACCTACACTACCAGATTATGAAAAAGAAACGAAAAGGAAGAAGGTACTGGGCAGGTTTGGAAGGGCTGGGATTGATCAGATAAAAAGGAGGTTCTTCAAGCAGCATCCCCCTGATGCTAGAGAGGGGTGCGGGTTGGATCCAGCATCAGGGGCAGGCGGTGATGGGGCCGGGCACCTCGGGGGATGCTCGAGGCTTTGCTGGTCTGTGCTCATGGGCGGGACAGCGCTGGGCTGTGCACGGTGCAGCGGGAGCAGGGTGGGCTGGCAGGGGATGCTGGCCCCGCTCAGCTCAGATCCCTCGGATCCCGGCGCGTCGGGAGAGGGCAGCCTTCGCCACAGGCAGGTGAGGGCGGGAGGATCCGCACCCCACCGGCCCGGCCCAGCCCGAGGAAAAGCTGAAAGGAGAGCGTTTAAGTGCCCAGTGTGGAAAAGGGGTTTATTCATATGAAACATGAAGCCACTGGTGCTGCTGAAGGTGTCCCCTCTGCGAGGATGTCCCAGGACGTGATGCACATGTCCGAGGTGGGGGGATGAAAGCACACCTGGAACAAGGCTCACCGTGACCTGCTGCTCCAAAATCCCCTCTGCACCAGACTGGTAGACATGAATCAGGTTTCCCTTCTTCCCTGCAGACCACCAGGCTCATCCATTTCGCTGCAACAGCGCCGCGTGTGCCACAGCCTGGGGACCCACCTGGGACATCCTGGGCTTGCAGCTCCAGTGACTCACCCGCTAACCCTCCCTGGAAAGTGTGTTCCCTGCTACAGCACAAAGAAAAAAAAGAGAAAAGTTAATGAAAAGAGAAGCTGGAAACTTGGAAGCACAGTTAATGCTACTGCTGTGATGCTTCATTTGAGCTGCAAAGAGAAGATAAAGTTCTGCCTCCCACCAGAGATGTCACTGGGGAAAATGATTCCTTCCTTCTCTAAATGGCATCACATTGTTTCTTCTTTGCAGCTTGCTGCCAGCTTGGTGTCACAGCCTGTTTTTCCAGGACAATAATCCAGTTAACCGGCAATAGTGGTGCCCTCCATCCAATCTCCCCGCCACCCTCCTCAGACAAGATCACTACAAAAGATATTCAAAAATAGATTCACCTAGGAAAGAAGAATAAATAAGGGTTGCTCCTGGCATGTGAATAGCTAATGAAGACCCACTTAGCAGTCTCGGCAGACTCATCAGCCTTGGCGGCTGAGCCTTGATTGTGTGTCTGCAGCTCCGTTCCTCTTCTCTCCTCATTAGACCCAGGTCAAACGAAACACACATAAACCGTGGCAGAAATGCTAAGAACCAATGGAGATGGGCATAGTGGTGACCCATTCCAGCTGGAAAATTACAGGCTAGGAATTTTTATTGCCTGGTACGTGGAGCTGTTTCATCTAGCAGCCAGAGGTAGGTCAGTTCTAATCCCCAAGGGTGAAATCCAGCTCATCACATGTCCCACATCTCTGACCTGGACAGTCCTGCATGGGGAGCATTAGGGCACATTTTGGGATTATTCAGGATCCAGTGTGCTGGGTGCAAAGGCAGCAGGTGAGGGTTGAAGGGGTGACACATCTGCTTGGCACCCGTCTCCTGGGGGCACCTCTGGAAGTGACTGCCACCCTCATCGATCACTGCACCATTCTCCTCTGCCCAGAAAGACTCTGTAGAGCCCTGTGAAACTCTAGTGAATAACATACATGAATACACTAGGAGTTCTATAAATACAGGGAATCCTCTAACAAGATTTTTGTCTTAAACACCTTAGGACACTGCTTTCTCCTTTTCTGAAACCAAACCTGGTCACTCACTCAGGCACTGCAAGGTGAAGTTAGTTTTAATATTATATTTGCTAATAACTTGGGAAAGAAAAAGGGAACAAAGTAAGAAAGAGCAAGGCAGCCAGCTCCTGCCTCACGCCGTCTTGATTGTCTGTCACTGAATTGTGGCAGTGCATGAGATGGGAGAGGCATGCAGAGGTGTGAGGCAGCATTGCCAGAGGATTCTGCTGCAGTCTGGATTATGTTGGTGTAAAATCTGCTCTGTTCTACTTGTCTGTGCTCTGAGACCTCCTGACAGTGATTACTCACAGAACATTCCATCTTCGCTCCTCTCTGTTCCTAACCTAACAAACCATCCTTTTCTCACCAGTTCTGGGTCAGAGAAAAATGTTGTTATTAGGTTACCTCTATTTTATGGTCTCTTAATTATTTCCACCTCTGTGATTACACTAATTAGCTAACTGGTTTCTAATGGCTGTACAGTAGCTTGCATTACACTTTCATTAATCACAGCCTTAGCCAGCCTAGTTAAGAGTCCCTGATTTTTTGCATTATGATTTGAAATTATTAAATGCAAAAGTAATCTGAAGGGGAGAAAGGAGTCAATAGGAATAGACATTACCTTCTCCAGCAGCTTGGCAAAGAGCCTCTTTGATATATTTAGAAATGTTATGATTCACAAGAACTCGCCAACCATTTACTTAGTGTCTATAAAAATAAGAAAAAAAGGTAAGTTTGAAGTTTTCAATCACAACTGTTAAAGGCTCCTTCTCACTTTCTTTGATTCGAGGCAGTTGACTGACACATTCAAATGGGATCAAAAATAAAACAACTGACAACACATCTCCTCCATCCTGATGGCTGTGCCCGAGCACTCGCTGCAGCTACACCCAGGACAAAACAGAAATGAAAATCAAAGAGGAGGTTGAGTCTTCACTGCTGGAAAAACATTACTCTGACAGCTCTCAAGACCTTCCTATAAATCCTTGCCTAGGGAGATTATTCAATGTGCTAAAGGACTTCTTAAAATAATCAAAATTAGGAAAAAAGCATCTCCCACTGGATAGTTTAAATACCTGCACAGGGGAATGTTCATCACTGACTATGATGGAAAGTCAGAATAACAATAAAAATAATAATAAAATAATGTTTTTTATTTTTATTATCATTATTGACACCTCTGGAACAAGAGAAGTTCAAAAGGCTATACAAGCACAAATAAATTAATTCTGCCAAGCTGCTGCATGTCAGGCACCCAGTTCAGTGAGGTGCTTGACTGCAGTACAGTTTTAGTGAGCACTAAGTAAAATGCTTTTAGGAGGTGGGACAAGGGTGATGATCCTCTCTCCTGCCAGGGTGTCTTTGACAAGGAGCGAGAGGCAGAGAATCTTCATTTCCTGAAAATAAGAGGCTGAAGAGGCCCCATGACAAGCAAACCATTAAATAGGGAAAAAAAGTAACAATAATACAGAGCAAAATTTTGCTTCAGGGAAAAATTTCTCCTTGGTTTTAGCACAGATGTTGATATTGCACACTCAGAAATGGCTGTGTGGAAGCACATTATTAGATGGTGCACAAAACCAGAGAGCTGGATTTGCAAGGGAGGAACTAAAGCATTTAAAAATTAAAAGACATTTTAAAGGCATCTTCTCTCTGAAGGAGGAGATACGAGTAGAGAGACTGAGCTTCCCCAAATCACAAATTCTTGAAGTCAAAGCCTCTCAAGAACTTTTCCAAGTTTGCTGCAAGAAAAGGGAGCTCTGATGGGAACTACAGATCCCCTGGGCGCTCCTCTGTGTGTGGAGAGGCTGCGCCTGGCTCAGCCAGCCTGGGTGGGAGCTCCTGCCTCCCCTCACCTGCAGTGTGTGTCCATGTGCTCGGGAACACACCTGGAGCAGGGATCTGCACCGTGCCAGACCTCCCCAGGGCAAGCCCAGCCCAAACACCCATCCTGCCTGATGCCTGCACCTCTGTGTGTGAATTCCACACTGCTTATCCACACAGCACCCTCAGCAGCTCCCACAAAGCACAAGGACACGCTTTTCAAATTAAGGAATGTAATTTCCGAGCCCACATCCCTCGGGAGGGGGGAATCCTGACCCTGAGGGCCGAGGAGTGGCAGGACGGAGAAGAGCTCAGTGTTTTGGGCCCCATGCATGTGAGGGTGGCACAAAGCAAGGCTCACACACAAAGGTGATCGCTCTGCACTTTGCATATTCCCTCTGTGCACCGGGCTGGGATTTTTCATTTCATCCATAATTCATGGTTTGCTGCAGCGACTCCACAGAGCAGCGCAGGACCTCAGCCCTGCTGGTAACAAGGGAAAGGCAGAGTTGCTTTTGTTGCCAGACTGCAAACTGTGGAGCTGGGCCCCTCCACTTCATCCCTGTAGCCACATTTCTCTTCACAGAGAAAATCTGAACGTCAGAGAAAGGAAAAACAATTCTCCTGGGCCCCTCCACTTCATCCCTGTAGCCACATTTCACAGAGAAAATCTGAACGTCGGAGAAAGGAAAAACAATTCTCACCTCATTTGCTGTGCCTGTGTTTGTGCAAAAGTAGAATGCAATATGGAGACTGTTTACCCAAAGTGATGATGTTTTGTTTCCTTGGCCTGTCAGGGCCAAGCGTGTGTGTGTGTGTCGGGACTGTTGGGTGACAGTCACGAGATGAGTGCAGTTGGGTGCAGAGTTGAATGCTTGGCAGATTCAGTTTAGATATCATGTAATATAGTGTAATATAACATAGAATAATACAGTATAATAAAGTAATTAATTTGCCTTCTGATAAGATGGAGTCCTCCTCATCATTTCTCCCTGCTATGAGGGTTGCTTTGAATCCAATAATCCAAATTAACCTGTAGGCAGAAGTGGGAAGAAACAGTGAAATAAAGGTTATTTGCCCCTATAGATAAGTGGCTGCTAGTGGCCACTGCCAGCCCCACAGGAGCCCACGCTGACCCTCCATGTGGGCTGTTTGTAGCCAGGACAGTCTGTGCCCAACACAGCACAGGGCTGGTGCTTCTCCCTTTTTTACACATGTACATGTGATTGCTAACCCAGCTCGGTCTTTGATGTCCCTGCACTGCTAGATTTTGGGGCCAGGCTGTTTTTCTTTTTCACCTGGCCCCAGCAGTGCTGAAGGGTGACAGTCCTTGCAGTCACTGTGCCACTCCAGTGGTGTCACACACTCAGAGCAGCCCACGCTTCCTGCCAGGGCTATAAACCTTCCTCCTCCAGCCCCGCTGCCTTTCCTCTCCATAACACACAGACCAAAAAACCCAGTTTGTCAGAAAGGAAAGTGTTTGGGGAGATTAAAATGTAAATGTTGCACTTGGCTTTTCAAAGGGGGTTTGATATTTTACTTGTGACTCTGCAAGGAAATAGATTTTTGATAACTCTGTGGAACTGCTGCTGCCCAGCCACTGCTGCAAACAGCCAAGACCTTAATAAATAAATTCTCTGTCAGGCAGCTCTGAAAACCAACTTGCTGGTGGTTTGGAGAAATATTGGAAATTTCAAAGCAGTCTTGCACAAGGAGACCTGTAATTACAGCAGCCTCTCCTACACTGCCTGGGTTTGGGAGGAGAGGGGGAATGCACAGTGTCCTCCTTGACAGTGCTGGCAATACACACTATATATTATTTTTCACTATGTTTATTAACTTGAAAATATGGGGAAAGGGCCATGTCAGATGTCGTGCTCTGCACTAGGTATCACCCATGGATGGGACATTAAAAGGGAGTATGAAAATAATTCAGACAGAATTCCTGCCTGGCTTGGCTCTGGCTTGCAATCTCATCTCCTTGGAAAACCTGCAGAAAGGTCTGCCTGAACCCAAAACTAGGTCCCTCCCGAAGCAATTTTTTCCCTTAATTTTATGTGATGGATCCAGGTCTCTTTTCTCTGACTCTCTGAGTCTGCAGAACCTTGCACCACCCTCAGCACCCATTCAGGCTCTGGCTCCATGCTAATAGACAGACACATGACACCATGGCCTATGCATTATCCAGGCACTTTGCTGATCCAGACTGCTGCAAATGCTGGGGAAATTCTGGAGAAAAGTAATTAAAAGGAATTTGCTGACTTTCTCCTGACCACCAAAGTTCCTGTCCCCCCACCTCTGTGGCCAGAAGTGAGCTGCTGGGATTTTTGCCTTCCCAGTTGGGACATATTGAAATAGTTGAACCTCAGTATAAGAAGTTCTTGGCACAAGGCCCTCAGTAGAAAACTATGACTACATAAATATTCATTACTTTATTACCAAAAAGCTTGATGAGTTTAAATTAACCTTTCTTCCATAATACATGTAATAACCTGAATATGACCACTGCACAAGTAGACCAGCAGTGCTTAGAAATGATCAGCAAGGCAAGAATCACTCACAGGATTAATCTGGAAAATAATTTCAAACAATTGAGATCTATATGAAAATGAACAGACCACACATTAATAGAGCCTGAGCCTGCTCTGTAAACTTAGCTACTCACTTTTTATCCCTTAAGTAAACTAGGAAGAGTAATGTATTTATAGCCTCTTGACGTAAGTAGCCTCAGTGAAATATTGTATGTAATAAATATTCTGCCATCCCCAAGAGCCTACAGGACAAAGCGGTACCAAGGTACTGCAAAGGCAAACTGTATGTGGCTAACGAGTCTTGGTGAGCTGCCAGCCAGCTGAAAACACTGAAATGAGAGAAAGCAATGAAAATATAGACTTTATTAATATAGGAGTGAGTTTTATTAACACAACTGCAATGCAAGGTCAGTGGGTAAGGATTTTTCGCGTTCAGCTCAGTGGGGCACCTTTAATCATTGCTTTCAACCATCACCTTGGAGTTTGGTCAGCTTTATGCCAATGTTTTGTTGTTTGCCAGTCATTTTCCCCACTGTTTTTCCCCCCCTTTCCTTGCTGATGCAAAGACCATAAGATCTTGGCCCTTTTTCCCTACCCCATGTTGCCAGCATTGCTTTTTATCCAATTACAAATTACACAGTGCATCTGCATTAAACCAAAATGTGTTCATCACTAATTTTAAATAAGGATGTCATTTGTAAATGCTTTATTCATAATTAATGGAATTATTACTGGGTGCAGCCACATTCTTCATCCATGTACTGTAAGATATGTTGTAAAGTGCATTAGTAAAAAGCTTTATAGATGAGGATATGACAACCCGACTGTGAAGCACATTACGTGATGTACTGTGGCTATTGTTGTAACAATCTTTATGCAAGATTTTAAGCTATCAGTCAGCCAGAGGCTGATTGATAGTGTAAATGTTAATAATTAATAATAGGATAATGTTGATAACTGTGATTCTATGATGAGTATGGATTTTTTTAGTTAGTATTATGCTAATATGCATTATTCACTGAATCATAAAATCACATTAGAGATGAGAAGGTCCCTCTGGCTTTCCCCATTCATATCACTGATGAGTCAGTGCTGCTCCTTCCTAACATTTCCAAAGCAGCTTTTTTCCTCTGCCTTTCTGCATTAAATCTCTAGGTTAAGAAGTGTGTTTTAAAACAAATTTAGAGCCCTGAATATGTACTCACCAGAGGAATGTGTAAAGGTATGGCCTTCAGGAGAGGAGTACAACGAGCTGCCTGCTGTGGGCATGGGAGACAAGAGGACAGGAGGGACCTTTCCTATGTTTACAAGAAAATAGCTTAAAATTAAGGAATTGTTTCTGCAAACTCCTTTCACTTTGGCGCTTGAATCCTGCAGCAAGTTAAAACCATCAGGCACACGTACCTTGTGCAGTGGCTACAGGAAGGTCCTTGGGCTGGTGAGCAACAGGCAACAAAGTGGGATGTGAAGATGGAGACACACGAGAGAGAGAAGCACAGACAGCTGTAAAGTGGCTCAATAGTGATGTCATTTTTTTGTTTTTCAGCTGACATTATCTTTTTTAATATCCACTAGGCAGGATGAAAACAGGCATTATGTCATGCGGGGGGAAGTGAATGTCGGTTTGCCGCCGGGCACAGACTCCTCAGAGGATGTGAAATGCCAATAGCAGCCTCCAAATCAGGATTTAGAAATGGATATGGTGTAATGGTCCTGGGGACATGCTGGATTCCAAGGTTCCCAGCAGGGAGATCTCCCCTTCTCCACCCAGCAGGATTGTCTCCATAGCCCGTCTCACGGCCGCCCTCGCAGGACCAGAGATATAATTTTGCCTTCTCCAGTTTCAAAGGCTGAGATTCAGGAGAGCTCCTTCCTGGTACTCAGCTGGTTGTAGATAACCTAAGCCAAAGGAATCAGATATGCTGAGCTCACTGGCATTTTCCTGCTGGCATGGTGTCCAACAAGGAAGGCTGTGCTCCATGCACCCCCTTAATGACATTTTAATTCCTTAAATTGTGCTAACACCCACCCAGCTCTCTGGCAATGCAGGAACACAGCTTATGGTGTGAGAGCCATGTTCAGGGAGAGAGGAAGTGCTAGTTAGTGCAGGAATTATCTTATTAAGGAAATTATTAGTGGTAGCTTTTTCTTAAAGAGATGAGTGTGTTCAGGGCTGATCACTGATTACCTTCCCACCCCTGCTCCCTCCCCACCTCTTGGACATCATGTTTGGCTTTTCAACGTTTTTATTTCAGACAAATCCGCAAGCACATTTCCAGGTGGATGTCACCAGGATCCACTTCCTCCCAGCCCACAGACAGTCTGTCTCTTATCTCACTTACATTAGTATCAATTATTTACAGCAGGAATGCTAAATCATGAAAACCAAGTTTCAAAAAAGCTCTGCCTTGGCTGAGTACCCCACACTGGCTGCAGCTTCCCAAGCCCCTGTGCTACTGGTACTTGGCCTTGCAGAGCAACAACCATGAATTCCTTCCCCTTTCAGAGCTGCAGAGAAGAGCAGTGTCTGGGCACCCACAGCCCCTGTTCTTCCTGGAGATAAAAATCATGAGGGTGTGCATTGGGCAGCATGTCTGTAGGAAAGCTTCTCCACGGTCACTAGGTTTTGGAGCAGCACAGTGCTCACCAGAAGGTTTATTTTGCTTTTTGTTCTCCCTCCTTCCACAGAGGCTTTGTGACACTTGGAAGTAACATTTGTGGAAGGACCATCTTCAATCTATGGGTGATGGAGCTGACTCCCCAAAGCAAGGTGCAGCCAGCCTTCCTGGGGATTCACCACCCCTTTGTGGCACCACACAAGTGCTATTACCAGTTCCTTCCTTCTCCTTCTCCTGGGCATGGTCTCCCTTCTGGGAGCCCATAATCTGGGGACAAGAAGGTGTTTCCCCATGAGGTTTGAATGAGGATCTCACATGCAGTCACTGATGAGTTCCTGAAATGACTGAGTGCATAAAGGGTTTTTAAAATTTTTAATTAACAGTATTTAAACATGACTAACTAAAATCTCCATTAAATGAGGGTGTTATATGCCTTAGGACAGTATAAATACAAGTGTCTGGGCTCTGTTCATGTCTTTACTCTTTAGACACAGAACAGAAGCAGTGTTTTACCTCTGTTGCTAAATTCACCACTAAGTGAGGTGATGTTTCCACCCTTGACCTTGGTTGAGTGCCTATGTTTAAATTTCCAGTAATTCTCAATATTTTTTCAGATATATCCATGCTTGCTCCAGAGAAGCTGTATTTTCCTAGATTTGGTTCCTTACCCAGCATATTCCCGCTTTGCTCATTACAACTCACAAAAGGTAAAAGAAACCCCTGAGGCAAAAGGGACCCTCCAACCACCAGTGACCAGTTCAGCTCTGGAGGGATGATTTTGGACACCTTTGAGCCTCCCTGACTATGAGCAGTGGCTGTGGTCCATGATGTGGAGCTGAAGGGCAGGGCTTGCCTTGGTTGGGGTTTTCCACAGCTCAGCAGGTGCTGCTGGCCATGGAAACCTTCAGCCAAAGCAAGTCCAGTGCCCAGCCCCAATTACCCTTAGCTGGTGCTTTGCTGTCACCCACGGGTGTGATTTTGGCTGTTCACAGGGATCACTCCTGGAGGGAACGATGGAGAAAAGGAAGGGTGTTTTACTTCCAACCTGCTGTAAGTCACTTCATTAGCCCTGACCCTGTTTGACCCTTTTACTGTTATATCAGCCTAACTGTTTATTTTCCTCATAACAGTAAAACCAAATCGATTACCTTTGTCTCAAAGCCCTTTATGTGTCTCGGCGCCCAGGACCAGCCCTGCTTTTAGCAAGGGCCTGATGCAAATGAAATCTCTGGGAAATAGGGACTGTTTGGAGCAGACACCAAGCTGACCTCCCCATCTTCCTCCTTTTTTTACCTGATTAAACTTCATCTATTGCATTTAAAAGAGAAACTTGATTTATTTTTAAAATAGCTGTACAATGTTATCTCTATAAATGTGCATGGTGTGTCTTTGTTGTATACATCTATACAATCAATAACTGTGTCTTGCTGGGGATTTAAATATTAGTCTTCAAAATCCAGGTCTAGAGCACCAGATTTATTTGTAGGAAAACATACCCTTTCCTGCTTAAGGAAGTATATTAGTTATAGATGCAAACCCATAAATCTTGTGGCTTTAGGTGAGATATTTGCTGGATTATAAATATGAATTGGAGATGAAGGTCCTGCTCTTCCTATTATTACTATTATTATTATTACTTACTGGATATTATTTTCTGTATGATCCATATCTTCAGGTGGGTCAAACACCACTGGGGATTGGGGAGCTAAGCCTTCAAAGGGTGCACACATGTTGAATTCATTAAAAGGTTTTCTTTCCCAGCCTTGCCCTCTGCTGCATTTTGCAGCTGGGTGAGTCATTAAACATCCTGTTCAGGTGCCTTCCCCTCCTCTCCAGCCTGCTTTTGGTACCTCATTTCGTTGTGCTGCTTTTGCCTGATCATATCAAACCCCCTAATGTTTATTAATGTCGCCCTGTGCATCCTATTGAAAATGTGCTATTGTTTCCCAGGTTCTGCTTCAGCACCAGTCTCGGAAAGCAGCCAAACCAGGAGCCACTGGGGACCCCAATATCACCCAGAGCTTTGTCATAGGTGACAATTTTCTTCTCTGCCATTTGTTTTGGCACATCTGGGGACATCAGTAATAAGGCACAAGGGCTGGATTGCCCAAGAAGCTGAGCACCCAGAATATCAAGTGGAGGATTTGCTTCAGGCAGGGTGTGAGAGCTTTGATGTGAGAACTGTGGACGGTCCTGAGGCTGCTCAGCACCTTCAGGGCAGGGCTGGAGAGGTCTCACCACAGAACTGAGTGTCTCTGCTTAATTCAATATCAGCTGAGTCAGGGGTACGTTGCAGTGGATCCCCCAGACTTTACCAAGTGCTCTGAGTGCCATTTAATGAGAGTTAAACAGAAGACATCACTGATGACCCCAGTGCTTGCTGATTTGCCCATTTCCCTGCTGACCTCTGCTGCTCCAGCCATGCTGGTCACTCTGTGGCACATCCAGGACCAAACCCAGGCAGGTGACAAATGCAGAGGGCTGGGTGCTCCCCAGCAGCAGCAGAAGCAAAAGGCATGGAGCAGGACTGGTGTGCACTGGGAGGAATTCCTACAGGCAGCTCTGGCAGGTGCAGCCCCACAGCGGGCTGCTGACCAGAGGAGAACATGTACTGGGATCTCAAAATAAATTCATGTAATGCACTACCCTGAAATTAATAGGCTCTTGTATGCCAGGGCTGTAAAGACAGGCCTCTGTATAAGGTCTGGCTTTTTTGAATTAGACTCCTGTGCTTAAATAAATTAAGCGAGTTGTCAGTATATTAAATGATTTAATGCCTTCTTCGGTTTTGCAGAGGAATCCTAATGAAAATACTCTTCAATATAAAATGCTGAATAAATTAAAGGGTGAAGTATTTAAATAAATGGTGTGTTGTTACTGTGAACCGCATTAAATTAGTGTTTGCCTCTATGGTAATGATGCTGCCCTGGCTTTAAAAGAGTTTCTGCTGGTTCAGGCTTTTTTTCTGACAAAATATAAGTGTTGTGCTTCAGTTCAAAAGGATCTGCACTGTTCTTGGGCCAAAACCTGATATCAGTGAAAGTCTTATTGGCTGGCTAACAAGGAACTGGATTAAATGGCATTAGAAGCAAAGGGCTCTGGCAGACTGAATTGAAACTACTGAAGAAGTTTCTGGGTGGTGGCCTCTGCCCTGAGCAGGAGACACAAAGGGGTGTGTGTGGGGAGAGGGGTTAGTGACTGTGGTGGGCAATGTCCTGCAGTGCTGCCTCCTCCCCACTCACTGATAATCTGGATTATCAGCTGTGGGGACAGCAGCAGAGAGGTGGCAGGTGGTGGGGACAGCAGCAGTGGCTTGGATCACACCACAGGTAAATCCAGCACAGCTCAGGACCCACAGATATGGTCCCAGATGCTCCTTGGTGTGGGCAGAAGGGAAGAGACAAGGTCCCAGCATCCCAATTTACACCTGGTTTCATTCTGTAATTGAAGAACCACACTGATATCATGAATAAGCTGTGGAGGGCCTTAAAAGTCTTTCTTTGCTGATCTCATTACAAGATAAGATAGCAAATGACCTCTCTTTTCTATCCTTTCTATAAGGTACAGACCTGCTTTTAAAGGTAAAGACCTCACCAGAAGATAAAGTCCTGTATATAGAAATCAATTATGAAACAACTTTAGTTGTCCAGCTTTTGGATATCAGCTCTTATCTAATCACTTCTACCAATCACAGTATTTCTTTGGAAGGAAACATTTTTTGTGGCACTGTTTTCTGAATTTAAAACACCAAAATAATGGCCTAGTATTCAAAGAAAAAAAATTATATATGTATATACGTTTATACCTGTTTGGTCCCCAAGCACATCTGGATGTGCAGCTGGGTCTTTCAGACCAGTCCCAGGAGAAGTCCATGTGTGGGTTCTGGAGTTTCCTGATTGAGGGGTCTGTAGCTGGGATCACTGCTGAATAATTTCCATGGAAGGGGAAATTTCAGCAGCTTCCAAACCAGCAAGCAGAGATGTGATGGAGCTCCTGCAGAAAGTCCCCAAGATTGCAGCACTCTCTCATTCTGTGTTTTCCTGGGTGTAGATGAGTCTGTTATGAAACTACACCTTTTCCACTCACAATTTTAGCAACTCTTAAGGAGCAGGGATGTGTCATTCCCTTTAAAGTCCATCAAGTTATGGCAGCAGATGAGGATCAGCAGGATTTTACTGAACCACTGGAATGCACGTTCTTCATGTACTTTGATCTTTGGGCTGCTCTCTCTGGCACTGCATTTTGGGTTTTTTTATAGCAGGGGGATGTAGACTGGGCTTG